CTTAGGTTTATGAACTGTGTACATTTTTTATTACTTATTATATATACTGCATATTTATTTCTTGCCTAGATTATATGCTGTATGATAAAGTGTAATAGAAGTCTGACTGTCATAAATATTTCTTAATGAAGTGAACATTACTTTTTTCCTAATATTGAAATGTCAAGAGGTGATATTGTACTTGTTTACATTTATTTTTTTAACCTTTTCATTTTCAATTGTGTATTGTTTATTTTAGGACCACTGTCATCATAATCATCATAATTTTTGAATACTCATTCAAATCAAGAATAAAAGAACTACGAGAACATTATTCTCTTGTGTTACAAATGGCGTCGTGGACAGGATTCTTGTGATTGTGATTCTTGTGATTGACGACAGTGTGCATCAGCATGGAACAGCTCGTCCAAGGATTGTTGGACAAAATTAAGATTTTGGAGACGAGAGAAAATCAAGACAGGCAGGAAAATGCGGCCATGCAACAAGAAATTAAAAATTTACAAGGAAAAGTTTCTTCACTGAAAGCTACCGAGTCGAAAGAAAAACCAACACCTTTAGTGTATGTCAAGTCCGAACGAAAATTTCCTAAGTTTGGAGGTCGACCAGTTAAGGATGGAGACCCAGATGTTTACGAGTGGATTTCCGACATGAGGGAACATATACAGTCTACACAGTCCAAAGACGATTTCGTAGATTTCATCATGGACCATTTAACTGGATCCGCAAAATCAGAAGTGAAACTTCGACCTCACACAGAGAGAAAAACAGGAAAACAAATTCTCGATATCTTGGAGGCTGTGTTTGAAATCAAAGAAACCACTACTCAACTTCTCCAGAAATTTTATCAACGAGACCAAAAACAGGATGAAACATTAGAAAAATATTCTCTTGTATTAATGGAGATGGCACAGAAAATCAACAAGAAAGGAATGAAAGAGCAAGTGACTGATGTTAAGCTTACTGAGAGATTTGTTGATGGAATCAGAGATCAGAACACCCGACAAGAACTGAGAAAAGTTGTGTTAGACTCTGGCAACGTACCATTTTTTGAATTCAGACTTAAAATGTTACGATGGATAGAAGACAACCCTGGTGTGAATCTCAGTGTGAAGAAAACATCATGTGTACCTACTCCAAATACAGAACAGAGTGAACTAATGACTCCAAGGTTTTTGAAAATGCAATTAACACTCAAATATCGAACTATTTTGAGAAAATTTTTAACCCTTATTTAGCGGCATTTAGATCAGGGTATGGTTGCCAATCGACCTTATTAAGAATCACCGAGGATTGGAAGAGAGCTCTTGATGAAAATAAATATGTTGCTGCTATTTTAATGGACTTATCCAAGGCATTTGATTGCCTCCCTCATGATCTTGTTCTGCTCAAACTAAAATCTTATGGTCTCTCTCCACCTGCGGTAGATCTGATAAAGAACTATTTATCTTGCAGAAAACAGTGTGTCAAAATTAGTCAAAATGTAAGCACCTTGTTGGATATCTTTAAAGGTGTACCTCAAGGATCAATTCTTGGGCCAGTCATTTTTAATATTTTCATTAATGATATTTTTTATTTTGTAAAAAATTCAGATTTGTACAATTATGCTGATGATAATACCTTATCCAAATCTGATCCTATCTTACAAAATGTTATTACTACTCTTGAAAAGGAAAGTGGCACTCTCATCGATTGGTTTTCAGCTAATAAAATGCAGGCAAACCCAGAAAAATTTCAAGCAATAGCACTGGGGAAAAAGACGCATGATAAAAACATTACTTTAAACTTGAAAGGTACAACTCTTGCCTGTGAGGATGAAGTGAAACTGCTTGGTGTTACTTTTGATTTTAACTTAAACTTCAATTCTCATATATCAAATATTTGTAAAAAAGCAGCTCGACAATTAAATGTGTTAAAACGTGTCGGGAAACATCTCTGTAAACTGGGTAAACTTACCATCTATCACTCCTTTATAATGTCCAACTTTAGTTATTGTCCTCTGGTATGGCATTTTAGCAGTGAACAAAATTGCCAAAAAATAGAAAAAATTCAAGAGCGAGCACTAAGATTCATATATAATGACTACACAAGCAGTTATGACCAGCTCTTAGAAAAATCAAACCTCCCCTCACTGAAAATCAGGCGTATGAGAGCCATGGCCCTTGAAGTTTTCAAAATTATAAACAATCAATGCCCACTGTTCCTGCAAGATTTAGTTCAACAGCGAAATTCAACATACAATTTTAGATATCAAAAGACCCTGGAATTACCTAGGCCAAGAACCACTAGGTATGGAAAACAGTCATTCAGCTATGCAGCTGCTACGCTGTGGAATTCTCTACCAAATCATGCTAGGGAACTTTCCACCCTCGGCCAATTTAAAACTTTCATAGAGACATGGACGGGGGAAAAATGCAAATGCAGTTCCTGCAGAAACCACAGCGTAGGGCTGCATAGCTGATGAGACAATGTTTAGAAATAGTTGAATTTTCATTTATTTTTTAAATCTTTCATTTTCTCTAATGATATCACCTATCTCATTTTATTTCATTGTTTTCTAGTTTTTTTTTTTTTTTTTTTTTTTTTTTTTTTTTTTTTTCCCTTTAACCTCACAATATGCATATCTTGCCTATGTAGGTAGGGACTGACCCAATCACTAGGCAGGATGTGTATTGATGAGGAACATAAATTACTTAAAAGTTATTATTATTATTATTTATTTTTATTTTTATTCTTTCCTTCGTTCTCAATTTGGTTTAGCTATGTCTGTGTGAATTTAAATTTCCTAAACTTTCAAATTTATTCATTTATCGGGTTTTTTTTATTTATTTATTTTTAATATTATTAATAATACAATTAGTTATTTTTATCTGAATTTATGAATTAAACTTAGTGCTTAATTTTATTACATGTACTATCATATGACTTTTATTTATTTATTTATAATACTCACGTTATATTTATTTTTGTTTCTCTTAATGCAATCATGTTGCTTTTCAAGTTGACTATTTTTCTTTAACTTATTCTAAAGAAACTATAAATTCTTAAATTTGTTAAATTCTTAAAATTCATTTTATCTGTCATAATTTTTGTATTGTGTATATATGTACATGTGTTTTTGCATGATAATTTATGTGTAAACGTCTTTCTGTGATATTTTAACTGTGATAGTCGGTTTAAGAGCTCTACAGAGCTCATGTTTTATTGTTATGTATGTATACAATGCCGACTTTAAATAAAAAAAATAAAATTTACTTACTCTAGTTAAGAAACAACAAGAGATGTTAGAGAAACAACAACAACAGATTGATACGCTTACACAAACAGTACAAAAGTCTCGACAGTCTGATTCACCTCGGAGGGGTAATACACCCGTACCGTTCAGAGGACGTGGCCGAGGAATCGGAAGACAAGATCAGATTGTTTGTTATTCCTGTAACGGACTTGGACATTTTCCCTCAGAATGCCCAAATCGTAAAAATGGGTTCTCACAGTTTTGAAGGACTCGGAGCAGTTTTATCTCAAGAGAGACCTAATGGAAAGATTGTGATAGCCTACGCATCAAGATCACTGCGGAAATCAGTGAAGAATATGGAAAGATACAGTTCTATGAAGCTTGAACTTCTGGCACTCAAGTGGTCAGTTAGTGAAAAATTTCGTGATTACCTCCTTGGATCGAAGTTTATCATTTACACTGACAATAACCCGCTTAGTTACATCAACAAACCAAAGCAACGAGTAGACGCAACAACGATGAGATGGATAGGAGAGCTAACTCAGTTTGATTTTACAGTGAAATACCGCTCTGGTAAGGTGAATCGCAACGCGGATGCGTTAAGCCGTAGACCTACTTCACTGGAAGAAAAAGAAGTGAAAGTTTCCTTAGATAGGATCACTCAGAGTACATCATTAGAGATGTTAAATAGCCGTCTACCGACTCAGTTGAATTCAGAGATTACAGACTTTCAGATGCGGACAGTGAGCGCCATGACAACGCTTCCTGAGTATATTCCTGCGGAAGAAGAGACGGTAGAAGTGACACAACCTCGACGAAGTAAGAGAACAACGGCAGGGAAACATTCCAACCCGTTCAACTTACCTAAGAGTACCGTACCGTACAATCAAATTTCCGCCGAACCGACAAATTTTAAAGAACTAAGTGATGCGATTGTGAATCTTGGTGCTACATTAAGTGCTACTTTAAGTGATTCGTGGGCAAGACAAAATCCAAATAGATGTAATTATGTTATTTCATTTGATTGTGTTCAATTGTGTACATACCTGAATGTTGTGATAGAAATTTTTTTACAACCTTTTCATTGCTATGGAAAGCAATGACAAAGGGGGGAAATGTGTAAGAGGGCGAAGTATATTTTGCATCGGGTTCAAGATTCAGATTGAAATTTTTATAAAGTTTACAAATTATGAAAAGGAAAATTATTTTTATGTTTAAATCCTTTTTGAATAACTGAAATAACGATAGTATTTGGCTGTAAGTAATTTTTATAATTCATTTTTTACACTTGTGAATCTGTCCATTGATTGGTCAATTTACCGAATGTACAGTAGGCCATCTTTTGGCGGTATTTTCACAGTAGATGTTGACCAGTGAAGACGTGTGTCAGCCGTGTTACTAAACGCCTTTTTGTCTGATATATGTGAGTAATGATATTTTTGTCTTGCATTCATATTAGACTAGGTACTTTTGTCACAAGTGAATGATTATTTTATATTTTGTGAAATATGCAACGGTGTAATTTCCCGATTGAAAGTTGTTTATTACTAGTCAGAAATGATGTCGTGATGTTACCATCTAGTCATTTGTTTATAAGTATGTTTATAGGTTAAAAATAATAGATGCCCTAATGATATATGGTTTTAAAAGATTATTCAATGCAAAACCTTTTTATTATAAAAGTGGTTCCTTGTCAAGTACATGTAAGTATAGTTTGTATGAATTGAGTAGTAAGACCTGATTGTATTTATAGTGGACAGTCCTTGAGTGATGACGTCACAGTGACCGGAAGCGGCCATACTGTATTCCTTACTTAGGTTTGTGAACTGTGTACATTTTTTATTACTTATTATATATACTGCATATTTATTTCTTGCTTAGATTATATGCTGTATGATAAAGTGTAATAGAAGTCTGACTGTCATAAATATTTCTTAATGAAGTGAACATTACTTTTTTCCTAATATTGAAATGTCAAGAGGTGATATTGTACTTGTTTACATTTATTTTTTTAACCTTTTCATTTTCAATTGTGTATTGTTTATTTTAGGACCACTGTCATCATAATCATCATAATTTTTGAATACTCATTCAAATCAAGAATAAAAGAACTACGAGAACATTATTCTCTTGTGTTACAAATGGCGTCGTGGACAGGATTCTTGTGATTGTGATTCTTGTGATTGACGACAGTGTGCATCAGCATGGAACAGCTCGTCCAAGGATTGTTGGACAAAATTAAGATTTTGGAGACGAGAGAAAATCAAGACAGGCAGGAAAATGCGGCCATGCAACAAGAAATTAAAAATTTACAAGGAAAAGTTTCTTCACTGAAAGCTACCGAGTCGAAAGAAAAACCAACACCTTTAGTGTATGTCAAGTCCGAACGAAAATTTCCTAAGTTTGGAGGTCGACCAGTTAAGGATGGAGACCCAGATGTTTACGAGTGGATTTCCGACATGAGGGAACATATACAGTCTACACAGTCCAAAGACGATTTCGTAGATTTCATCATGGACCATTTAACTGGATCCGCAAAATCAGAAGTGAAACTTCGACCTCACACAGAGAGAAAAACAGGAAAACAAATTCTCGATATCTTGGAGGCTGTGTTTGAAATCAAAGAAACCACTACTCAACTTCTCCAGAAATTTTATCAACGAGACCAAAAACAGGATGAAACATTAGAAAAATATTCTCTTGTATTAATGGAGATAGCACAGGAAATCAACAAGAAAGGAATGAAAGAGCAAGTGACTGATGTTAAGCTTACTGAGAGATTTGTTGATGGAATCAGAGATCAGAACACCCGACAAGAACTGAGAAAAGTTGTGTTAGACTCTGGCAACGTACCATTTTTTGAATTCAGACTTAAAATGTTACGATGGATAGAAGACAACCCTGGTGTGAATCTCAGTGTGAAGAAAACATCATGTGTACCTACTCCAAATACAGAACAGAGTGAACTAATGACTCCAAGGTTTTTGAAAATGCAATTAACACTCAAATATCGAACTATTTTGAGAAAATTTTTAACCCTTATTTAGCGGCATTTAGATCAGGGTATGGTTGCCAATCGACCTTATTAAGAATCACCGAGGATTGGAAGAGAGCTCTTGATGAAAATAAATATGTTGCTGCTATTTTAATGGACTTATCCAAGGCATTTGACTGCCTCCCTCATGATCTTGTTCTGCTCAAACTAAAATCTTATGGTCTCTCTCCACCTGCGGTAGATCTGATAAAGAACTATTTATCTTGCAGAAAACAGTGTGTCAAAATTAGTCAAAATGTAAGCACCTTGTTGGATATCTTTAAAGGTGTACCTCAAGGATCAATTCTTGGGCCAGTCATTTTTAATATTTTCATTAATGATATTTTTTATTTTGTAAAAAATTCAGATTTGTACAATCATGCTGATGATAATACCTTATCCAAATCTGATCCTATCTTACAAAATGTTATTACTACTCTTGAAAAGGAAAGTGGCACTCTCATCGATTGGTTTTCAGCTAATAAAATGCAGGCAAACCCAGAAAAATTTCAAGCAATAGCACTGGGGAAAAAGACGCATGATAAAAACATTACTTTAAACTTGAAAGGTACAACTCTTGCCTGTGAGGATGAAGTGAAACTGCTTGGTGTTACTTTTGATTTTAACTTAAACTTCAATTCTCATATATCAAATATTTGTAAAAAAGCAGCTCGACAATTAAATGTGTTAAAACGTGTCGGGAAACATCTCTGTAAACTGGGTAAACTTACCATCTATCACTCCTTTATAATGTCCAACTTTAGTTATTGTCCTCTGGTATGGCATTTTAGCAGTGAACAAAATTGCCAAAAAATAGAAAAAATTCAAGAGCGAGCACTAAGATTCATATATAATGACTACACAAGCAGTTATGACCAGCTCTTAGAAAAATCAAACCTCCCCTCACTGAAAATCAGGCGTATGAGAGCCATGGCCCTTGAAGTTTTCAAAATTATAAACAATCAATGCCCACTGTTCCTGCAAGATTTAGTTCAACAGCGAAATTCAACATACAATTTTAGATATCAAAAGACCCTGGAATTACCTAGGCCAAGAACCACTAGGTATGGAAAACAGTCATTCAGCTATGCAGCTGCTACGCTGTGGAATTCTCTACCAAATCATGCTAGGGAACTTTCCACCCTCGGCCAATTTAAAACTTTCATAGAGACATGGACGGGGGAAAAATGCAAATGCAGTTCCTGCAGAAACCACAGCGTAGGGCTGCATAGCTGATGAGACAATGTTTAGAAATAGTTGAATTTTCATTTATTTTTTAAATCTTTCATTTTCTCTAATGATATCACCTATCTCATTTTATTTCATGGTTGTCTAGGTTTTTGTGTTTTGTTTTTTTTTTTTTTTTTTCCCCTTTAACCTCACAATATGCATATCTTGCCTATGTAGGTAGGGACTGACCCAATCACTAGGCAGGATGTGTATTGATGAGGAACATAAATTACTTAAAAGTTATTATTATTATTATTTAATTTTATTTTTATTCTTTCCTTCGTTCTCAATTTGGTTTAGCTATGTCTGTGTGAATTTAAATTTCCTAAACTTTCAAATTTATTCATTTATCGGGTTTTTTTTATTTATTTATTTTTAATATTATTAATAATACAATTAGTTATTTTTATCTGAATTTATGAATTAAACTTAGTGCTTAATTTTATTACATGTACTATCATATGACTTTTATTTATTTATTTATAATACTCACGTTATATTTATTTTTGTTTCTCTTAATGCAATCATGTTGCTTTTCAAGTTGTCTATTTTTCTTTAACTTATTCTAAAGAAACTATAAATTCTTAAATTTGTTAAATTCTTAAAATTCATTTTATCTGTCATAATTTTTGTATTGTGTATATATGTACATGTGTTTTTGCATGATAATTTATGTGTAAACGTCTTTCTGTGATATTTTAACTGTGATAGTCGGTTTAAGAGCTCTACAGAGCTCATGTTTTATTGTTATGTCTGTATACAATGCCGACTTTAAATAAAAAAAATAAAATTTACTTACTCTAGTTAAGAAACAACAAGAGATGTTAGAGAAACAACAACAACAGATTGATACGCTTACACAAACAGTACAAAAGTCTCGACAGTCTGATTCACCTCGGAGGGGTTATAGACCCGTACCGTTCAGAGGACGTGGCCGAGGAATCGGAAGACAAGATCAGATTGTTTGTTATTCCTGTAACGGACTTGAACATTTTCCCTCAGAATGCCCAAATCGTAAAAATGGGTTCTCACAGTTTTGAAGGACTCGGAGCAGTTTTATCTCAAGAGAGACCTAATGGAAAGATTGTGATAGCCTACGCATCAAGATCACTGCGGAAATCAGTGAAGAATATGGAAAGATACAGTTCTATGAAGCTTGAACTTCTGGCACTCAAGTGGTCAGTTAGTGAAAAATTTCGTGATTACCTCCTTGGATCGAAGTTTATCATTTACACTGACAATAACCCGCTTAGTTACATCAACAAACCAAAGCAACGAGTAGACGCAACAACGATGAGATGGATAGGAGAGCTAGCTTTTTCTTTTTAAAAAAATAATGATTCATTGCCTATATTTACATTTTTAACTCATATTGCGTTTTTGTGATTTTTATTTCAAAATTCCTGTATTATCGTTTGAGTTAATGGAAAAGCTGTTCAAAGTGGTCATGATATTTAATTTTTGCTTATAATGTTACACTTTCCTCAGCGTTCAACATTTTTGACGTCAAACTAAAACATCCCCTTTCACCTTAAATTGACCCCGTGTATGTGTTATGGTGGTTTGTATGCAGTAAATTTCCACACACTTTCTATGTAAAAAAAACTAGGTATGTAATGTAAACATTTATAATTGACTTACAGATTTTATCATTGACAATGTGTTTGATTCAATTTATTTCTTATCTAATAAATAAGTCTGATGATATGGTTATTAAATTACAATTGTTTAAGGATTGTACATTTAATTATTGCATGTTCCTTCATGACAGTTTGATTTTGAAGGTCAAAAATTAAAATTGAAAAGCACCTGCTAGTATTTTTTTTATAAAAACATTTCTCAGAAAAATCTACATCTAGATAGATTTTTTGAACACATCTTTTGTGCAATAAATGACACATAAATATCCACTAATTTTCTTTCATGTGTTGTTTATTAGTTTTATGCAGATGTCGCAGACATTTAAAATAACTGCTTTATTTTAAGCAGATGATGTCATTCAACTGTCTCATAAATTAAAGCTGCATGAATACATGAAGTAACAATGCAATATTACACAAGTTTCAGTAATGTTTCACTATCAAGTACACATAAATAACACCTAGCACCATGGGTTGAACACATAGTTACGTATAATATTTACATTTATACACTAATGAATACTGTTGGTCATGTGATACTCAATTTATACATTACAAATACGTGAAATTCATTGCCTTTTGAAAAACTGCATTTTTCTTACTTCAACTAATTATTTTTTAATTAGTTCATATTTAGTATGGTGGGACCAATTTTAATACCTACAAATGTAGGTTAGGAGTGAATTTAAAACAATGCATTGAAACATCGTGATCAAAGATGTGGAGATGAAAGTGTACTCTTTTACATTAAAAATATATCTAAATATTTTTTTAAAAATCGCAATGTCAAAATATTAACATAAAAAGTGCAAAATTAAAAAAAATTAATAAAAAGGGTGTCCAAAATCTACATAAAAATACTGGTACCTCAAACACAGAATAAAAAAATCATGTGGTAGAAATCCGAGATTCTTTCTTAATTACTTGACTTGTATACATGTAAATGCCTCAATGCAGGAAAAGGTTCTTGTGACATAAATCAAATTTTAAGTATGTGCAATACTTATACAATGCATTATAATACCAAGAAAAATATCTCGAAATTGACATCATACAAATGTATGATTCTTATTTATGATAATACATGATTAAAAAAACTTATTTCTCGCAGTAAATAAAATCATTGGAGGGCAATACTGTTATGAAATAATTTATTTATCTTTTTTTGAGAATGGTTTTTTGGAAAATATGAGTAACATATACATTGTACATATTGATAGATTTTAAACTTGCCTCAATTTTTTTCCATCTCAAAATAATTAACTTACTGTACAATCACAAACAACCTATGCACAAACTATAAAGAATTTCTAAAATAAATAACTATAATAATAATACAGTAAATATCATGAAATCATGATCAGCTGAATTCAAACAAAACTCACTACTATGGCATCAATGTGATTAACTTATTTTTTTTATAACTCAAAAAAAAAATGTGGTCTTCACATCAAAAAAAAATTTAAAGCAGATTTTGAAACAAAAAATATCACAGAATAAAAATATCCATTCAGCTTCACAAAACATCTGTTGTTATAATGAAGTTTCATTTGGTGGGATTCCATTGTTTTCTAGGGCCAGCAACCTCTGCTTCAGCATATGAATCTGTAAGATTTCAAACACAATTTCATTTAATTATGCAAATATTTCAAATTAAATTAATTTACCACATGAAAGTTCTAAATACACCCCCCAGCCCCTTCTTCAAATCTTACATTTTTTTCACAAATAGATACATGTACAGTGGACCCTCAGATATCCGTTCTAGATATCCGGATGCTTTTTATCCGGACGATTTTTCATCGGAACGAAATTTTTAAATGTTATTTTGTCTTGTTTAACTTGTGATTCAGATATCCGGATGCTTCATATACCCGGACAAATTCACTGGGAACCAAAGCGTCCGGATAAATGAGGGTCCCCTGTACACATATAGAAATAAACAAAATAATTCGTTTATTTCCCATGGATTTTTCAGCCCTATACGTATTCAATAAGTAAAGGTGAATAAAAAAGTACCGGTATATGTACATGTATTGATATTTAAAGCTAGCTGTAGTTGCTGTGCTGGAAATAAAGTTTGGTGGATAATAATAAAGGTGCAGTTCCAGCAAACAACAAAAGACTTTAGTTATCAATAAGGCATAGTTAGTCTTCCCATTTATCCTCCCTTTAATACATGGACCTCATAACTTAGAAGTGGATTTAATATTTTATTTATTTTCAGTCCCGAACCCTTACCTGTGCCTCATATCTCTCTGTCAGTGCCTGGATCTGAAATTCCAGTTTCTTTAATTTTCCTTGATATTTCTTCTTGGTCTTCTCAAAAGCAGCAATCAAAGCACTACAATAAGATATCTTACAATTAATTTCTGTCTCTCTGATATGGTAAACTTGTAAATATGGGAAAAGTTTTGTAACTTCTGGGATAAGAATAGTTTTTTTTCAAATTTATTTTGATTTCATTTTGATTTCAAATAAGGTATTGACCAAAGCGGTTATCAAAATAACAACACATTACATAATTTTTTAATTCTGCCAAAAATAACTCCATGCAAATGCTACATGTCTGTTCTATATAGGAATGGCAAAATTTATTCATGTTTACAGTATTTTTTAATCCCAATTCCAAAGTTTACCATGGCCATTGATCATGAAGAATATAAAATATAAAAGCTGACCTGTTGAAATATTCAAACTGACCTGGTTAAATATTCACACTGACCTGTTAGCTCTCTTCAGGTCATTAACAAACTCTGCAGACTGCTGATGTCGTATCTCAGAATTCCGGGACAATTTCTCCAAAGCCACCACTAGTTCCTGTACCCTAGATTTCAGCTTCCTCTCTCTCTGTAAAGCCTCAGACAAGTCTTGAGATGACCCCTCAGGTAGGTCATGTGATGCCTTATCAGCCAATGGGGATGAGTCAGAGTGCTGCTGTTCTGCATCCTATAAATCATAAATGAGACTAAATCCTCTTGCTTGTATTTCAGACTTGAGATGCTCCCACTGGCCCCAGTGCCATGAAACTAAGATGAGCTCAATTTAGATCTCAGTCTTACTTCTCTATCTTTAATACCATTGGTTGACATTTTAAGTGAGCTTCTCCTAGTTTATGGCCCCAGAGCCTTGATTTCAAATCTAAGAAAAATGCAAGTTAAAATTATCTCATCTGTGAGTTCTCTCCTCCATCTCAAACCTGAGATGCTCTATCGTAATTACCTATCTGAGATAATTCTTTATGAGATCCAGGGCTCGACATTAACTTTTTTTGCTACTTGTCCATTCGGACAAGTGACCAAGAAATTTACTTGTCCGAATTTCAACTTCACTTGTCCGAAAATTTTCAATAAAGTTCAATAGTTTTAACTTGTAAATTAAAATTAAGTCCATTTATTTACACATGTCATGTGCTTGATTGATTCTTGATGTTATTGATAAATACAACAGACACATAAAACGAAATTTAATTTAGGCTTTCTGTCCTGACAATAACATAAATGTGCACAAGTAAACCTGTCAACATCAAACAATATTCGCACTCGATTCGTATCTTCCATGGCTTTTCAGTAGTATGCAATTAGTGAACTTCGATCCCGATCGAATGTGAACTCAATTTTAATATAGCGATATATATCGGGATCGAAGTTTGCATTTTATGTACAGCTTCCGTCTTGAGACTACCGATTTAGCTTTCAACAGTTGTTCTTTTTATTTTTTAGAGACCCCTTTACATTAAAATGCACTTGTCCAATCGGACAAGTGCCCAGCACTATTCACTTGTCCGAATTTATTTTTCATTGGTACCGGACAAGCGGACAAGCGTTAATGTCGAGCCCTGAGATCTATACCTGAGATTTATTCTTTTCCTCCACCTCAGACTTGAGATGCTCTATCTAAATAAAGTATCTGAGATAGTTTTTATACCTTATTCCTCTCCTCCACCTCTGACTTGAGATGCTCTATCTGGATTTTGTATTTAAGATATTTATCTGTTACCTTACGCCTTTCCTCCATCTCTATCTGGATGACGTATTTGAGATAGTTTTCTGTTACCTTATTCCTCTCCTCCACCTCTGACTAGTCAATGAGATGCTCTATCTGGATTATGTATCTAAGATAGTTTTCCTTTACCTTATTCCTTTCCTCCACCTCAGACTTGAGATGCTCTATCTGGATTATGTATCTAAGATAGTTTTCCTTTACCTTATTCCTTTTCCTCCACCTCTGACTTGAGATGCTCTCTCTGGATTATATATCTGAGATATTTATCAGTTATGAATTACCTTATTCCTTTCCTCCACCTCTGACTTGAGATGCTCTATCTGGATTACGTAGGCCTGTTCCCTGGACTCCTTTCCACTCAGTCTCAGTTCCAGGGCATTCTTCTCCTTCTCCAGCAGGTAGTTCTGGGCCCTCAGCTCTGCCTTCTCCTCCTATCAAAGACAAAAGCGATCTTACTATTCTATAGAAAATTCAAATTTTTTTAGGAGTTTGGCAAATTGTGATCTGTTTATGTCCAAGATACTATCAACACAAAAAAAGGAGGCTGTGAAAATCAGATTTGTGGGAAATTTTAATAATTTAGTTTTGAAATTTAACAACTTATATAAGAGTTTAGGTATAAGTGCACCACTACAATGACTATTTCATATACATGTACAAAGAAAAATTAATGAAATAAAAGACCTATGATCTGCCCTATATAAACAAGAGCATTGTTTCCGGTACAACCTTGCCAAAATAAAGAAATATAGAAAAAATAGTCATTAATTTTTTTGTTTATATGGTGCTCTTTGAACATATGATAATCAGATCTCCTAGTAAAATACAGTCAATTCTCGTAAAACCGCCACCTTTTGTAATTCAGAAATCATGGCGGTATAACGAATTTGGCGATGAATTGAATTTTCCATCATTTAGGAAACAAGAAGTAGAGTTACCGTTCTTAACAATACCATTCGCGTTTCTATTCGAATTATTACATGTATATGTATATAAAATTATACATTATAGTCATACTCCTAAATTTGATAATACTTCAAGTATTTTTTATGTAAGTTTAGCTAAAACAAAATGTGCAGTTGTGAAATAAAGACAAGTATATGTGTATGCATGTAAATCTGCAGTCTGATATTGAAAAAATAACATGTAAGATATTGCCGATAGTACGTAAAACGAATTCTTGAATAAATTCATTGTTAGTGGTATCATTGTTAATGAAACGTCCAGAATTTATTCTGTATATTTATTTTTAAAACAAATTTTGTATTGTTTAAAGCAGAGATCATTAAAAAATATTGTTATCCGCGTGCTTTAACAACAACAGCTTTCAATTTGGCGTTATAAAGAGAATTTTATATAGCAAGAAAAACGTTCTTGGGAAATCATGGCGGTATTGCGAAAATGGCGATGAATCGAATGGCGATAATTTGAGAATTGACTGTGCATGTATTCGGAGGTTTTGGCAACAAGATCAAGAATCAAACTTATACTACAGGGGTTTGACTGTATGCATTAAAGTACAAAAGCATTAAACTCTTTACCCTCTACCCCAATATAACTTGTCAAACAAACCTTCATGGCCATCAGTTCCTGCATCAGTACTGCGTTCTCCAGATCCAGCCTGCAGGCCTCAGTCTGTCGCGTCGGCTCAGTGATCGGGGCATCCATGTTCAGACTCTCCAGCTCCATCACGGTGGATTTGATCGAGGCTCGCTCCGTCTTCAGCTGGTGGATGTACTCTCTTAACTTCTGTTCCTCTGCTTTAGAGAAATCCTCCGAGTAACAACCACTACTGCTGGTGCTAAAAATTCACAAAATAACAAATGAAATTTTTTAAGTTAAATTTTGTTTCACTCTAGTTTTCCCCCCTTTTTATCAGTAGTCCCTTTTTAATTACAACATTAATCTTAGTCCACTGATTCTTGAAAAAAAAAAGAAAACGTGGAAAATAAAACTGATGACAATCAGACCCTGTACATTTTGTTCACCAAAGTTTACCTCAACTCTTGACTCAGGTAAGCTTTTAAATTTCCTTTTCCAGTTGTTTTGACAATAAAATCATTTCTAAGTACTTGAGGGAAGATTACTCAATAACTAAAACAAATCAAATTTACTAGGTTGTAGGAGAGAAGAAAGTTAACATTTTTTTATCTCCAGTTTACTCTGAAATGCATAATACCTTGCAGTGTGTGTAGAACTATCATCCCAGGGATTAACCCCAAAATTCCTATCCAGCTTCTGAATCAGGTGCCTGGCCACGTTCTCCGCTGTCTTACGAGTATTCCGAGATTTCTGAGCCAGCTGGTTAATTTCCTCCTGCGTCTGAGCCGAGCTCCTCAGCCCCTGAGTAACCCCGGCTGACCGACAGTTTGACAATGTCAACCCCAACTCACTTTCCGTCAACGACAACACAACATCATAAGCCTCAATAGTCTGATCCGAATAATTCAATGCCAACTGCAGGGCAGTATTGTTGGACTCGTATTTTCCTATGAGTATGCACAACCTATCCGATAACGACTTAGATTCCATCAATGTCAAATTAAGGAGATCGTTCTGAGATTTCAAACTGTCAATTTTGCTTTGTAGTCTCTCAAACTCGATCTCAAATTCCTGGACTTTGCTCTCTCCTAGCTCTCCTCGCTCGGTGTAGAGATTCTGAACAATCTCCTGCATGTTGGATCCTTCTTTGATGTTCTGTACCAAGTGTTCGGCTACTTTGGTGTTTGGAAGTCGCTAGAAGTTGAAAAGAACTTTTAAATAGAACATGGAAATGACTAAAGTCTGCCTTTCAAACACAATATGACCACTATTTCTGGTAAAGTTGATTAAAAATATGTAAACAATTTCTTTCTTTTTTTTTTACATCATTTTAACTTAACTGTGTTTTTAACATGAATATCGAAACTAATTAACACATAATTAAACAGGAACTAGCTTTTCATAAAAGCTTGATAATGAATATGATTTGTGGATCGATAAAGATTTTTGGTCTTAGATTTATAGGCTCTTTTGGAAAACAGAACCATGATTAGAAGGAAAGGATGAAAATTTCACTGTCACTTTTCAAAAGTTAATGATGTTTTACCCCTCCAGATTCCAGTTCACAGCCCAGCACGGGGCGCTCGTTTGAGCACGTCTTGAGCTTTTTAAGCTCGGCCACTTTGGCTACAGGGAATGTTTCATTGTTTGGCATCTGAGATCTGGAAAGAATAGAATGATATGGTTTTGAATAAAGACAAACCTTCTATGCATATATTATTGAGGCATGATTATGAAAGTTACAAGAAATTACTAGACAAAAAAAGGAACCAAATACACTGTACAGTTAAGCTTTATCTAACAAACTATTTCACACTCAGAGTTTACCTGACTGTACCTATAAACATGTATTTCTATAGATTGTTGCACTATTCTTTGAATGGCCAAAGATACCAAATAATTTTACCTATCAGTGGGTGTGTGGGGTGGTTGATTTTTGGTGGGGGTTGATGTCCGTTTAGCGATTCTATTCTCATTATCACATGTACATGTATATATAAACATATTTCTAAATTTGAAAATACTTAAAGTAATTTTTTTTAATATGTACAATTTCGCTAAAACAAAATATTAAGTCATGGAATTAAGACAAGTACATGTGTATGCATGTAAATCTGAATTCGTGATATATTGCCTATAGTAAATTTAATAAATTCGTTGTTTATGAAATCATTGTAAATGAAACGTTCACAATTTCTGACTTATAATTATTTTTAAAGCAAACTTTGCATTGTTTTTAAAAGCAGAGATCATCAAAATAATATGGTTATCGGCGTACACAACGACCGCTGTGGCTCCTCAAATGATTTTATTCAATTTTTTTAAAATTATTGTTTACTTAATTGCATTACCTTCTGGCTTTGCATGCTTTAATTACAACAAGGATAGCGTCAACCAATTAGCCGCGCTTCACTGATCACATGCACCTGTGGCGGTATTATCGAGATAATTGACACTTAAAAATGGACGTTTGTTGTGAAAACAGGGTGGCGGATGGCTATTTTTTTAAAGAGAATTTTATATGGCTTTTAAATCATGGCGGTATCTGGCGTTGAATCGATTGACCAAAGTGTACTACATTCATTTTTTGTGAAAAAGTACTTTACTGAAAAGGATTGGAAGATGTTATTTGTAGTGTTAAAATGATTTTCTTTTAGCATACCATATATTTTCTAGGGAAAAAGTTTCTTTTTTCCATTTTGACCGCAAATTATTAGTACATTCAGTTAGAAATAAAAACACATTATGCAGACGATTATATTGAGTTAAAAATAAAAACACATCATGCAGATTATCTCCCTTTGTTGCCTCACCCTCTGCCTTAATTTGTCTCTCTCCTCCCTCAGGCTGCCAATCGCAGCTCTATGCATATTAAGCTCCGCCTCCTGCCTCTGTACAGTTTCCTGCAGCACCATGGCATCCTGCCTGAGGGTATAAATCACTTCCTGTAGGTAGGCAGGGTCAGGGTATTCATTGGGAGGGGGTGGTGGAGGAGGGTGGAAGGTGGCCGGTCTGAGGCCCCTGGGTGGGGGTGAAGGGGGAGATTCAAGGTCAAGGGCATCCATTTGTTTACATGCCTAGAAAAAAGAATGGAGTTCTAAACAATAATAAAAGAATGTTAGAAATTTTAAATCGAAACTTTTGTACATGCAATTTGGTTTCTTTAAAGAAAATTATATAAAAGGGGTAATCATGTTAAAATTGTGTCAGTTATTGTTTCCTAGGTAACAATTTTTGCAAATCTAAGACATTTATAGGAATTTTTTTCATAAATCTTCCTGAAAAGCAGCAACTGAGCTAGACACTGATTTAATAGTAACTGTAACACTCATCTAAAACCTTACCCAAATTTACAAATCCACTACAAATTTGTCCCCATTGCCTGTAAAGCGATAAGGACAACTTTTTTACATAAATTTTTTTGCCCTCATTACCTGTAGTGCTAGCTCCTCTACACTATCGTTGTCCTCGATATCACAAATCACCTCCTCTGTATTACAGCCCTCCTCTACCGTGTCCTGCCCTGTTTTCATTGGCTGATTCTCTATCACATTATCCAGGGCCTTCACCACCCGAGATATCTCAGTGTTCAAGTCATTACCAAGGATATCTGTAATGAAGAAGAGCATGACAATCGTACAACCATTTATGCTCACCTTAGTTAAATTGATTTTTTAAAACTTGTCTGTCAATGAAATGAATTATGAAGGAATATTAAAGATATTTGTATCATCAAGAGTTATCTCTCTTATCAGTGTATCCATGATTTTTTTTTTCATTATAATTGTTATTAAAATTCAAAATACTGTAAAATCACATATTTTTCGCTGGGTCAAATGTTCGTGGTTTGAGGAAAAAATGTTGGATCATGGGGATTTGATTTCAGGGAAAAAGAACATTTTAGAAGTTGTGCATATGAAATTTTACAATTTGTGGTGGGCATGATTTCATGGGTCTCTTCATACCTTGAAAACAATGAAATTGAACCCCCATGAAAATTAATGATTTCACAGAATCAGTGGTTGGAAATGTTGGTCTCGGACTCATTAGTATGATAATAAACATTTATCATAAAATAAGGCAGCAGTAGTATGTGATATTTTATTTAAGAAACTCATTCGCAAATTATGGAAATCAATATTTGTATACGCTGAAAACATATCTGTTCCGTACCTAACCCGCTGGCCTGAGATTCGTTAGCTGCCCGACTTCCTCCATCGTTACTTTTGTTACTCTGGACAGCTGCGTCTTCATATTCATCTTCTTCTCTGAAAAAAGTTACAACAGTGACTGTTTAACTTTATATTAATTGGATGTAAGCTCAAATATGAAGTATAGTTTGATGATTTTTTTTCTATGAACTTTGTACCAGTAATTGTCGGTTGAACAATTGATATATTTTTAATGTGTACTCAACAATCTACCGACTTAAAATGAAAATATGGGCTTTTTAAAAAAAATTGTATACCTATAGATATAAAGACTTGCACAAAACAATTAACTTCATCCAAGGCATATTTAATTGCATCTCTTTTTTTCTATAAAATAACAAGGAAGGATAAATTTAAAAATATAATTATGATTATTTAAAATATTTTTATATAACTTAAATATATAAATGGAAACTGTTTTCTTTATGAATGTCACCTTCCAGATTATTTCTGGTCAAAGAAAGGAGGGAAGAGAGCCCAAGCCAACTAAGATCAATAAGTACTGACATAATGACATTTACACCCCCTCATTTAAGTAATTGCAGCTGTGACTGCTGAAAAGGTTGAAAATAATTGAATATATTTTCAGTAAAACATGCTTATAAATAGCAAAGTACAAGGGATGACCAGTTTTGGTTTGTTTTAAAAGTTACTCAGTGTGTCTCTGACTTATATGTATTCACAATATAAAGGTGTGGATCCACGATTCTTTTTCAGGGGATGGGGTAATCCATCTCAGTCCAAAAAATTTATGATGATGATATCTCATCAAAAGAATATAAAACATGAATAATTTCAAATCATGCTAAGTCAAAAAGTGTTTGAATTTAAAAAATAAGAGAGAAAGAGGGTGAGGGGGGAAATTAAAATTCCTCATTAATAAATGAAACTTTTATAAGCTCTCGGCTGCCTCCCAAAGTTATGCACATCATCAGCTCAGATTCCAAAACATTTTTGGAAGAGTGTCAACATCCTTGCTTACAAACCATAACACAAGTCCATTAAGTGCATGTTAAAGCCCTCAAACATACACCACATAATTGCTAATCAATAGATGATCATGGATCCCATAGTCAAAGACACTTAAATGTTATACATCCCCCCTTTCTCTCTATATAGCTGGCCTCAATGGTATGCCACGGTATTGATTTTGTGGGGTTTTGTTCTTGTTTTGTTTATTCAAGGGAATTGCATCCAACAGTTAACCTTTTGCAGCTAATGTTTCCCCGTTTCATTCTTGGGGAGAAATTCTTAGCATGATTCTCTTTCTCAATTCTCTTTTCCAGATAGTATTTTGATTCTTGTGTAACTCAACTGCATATAAAACATAAACACAGTCTACTATTGAAATCTCAATTCTACAATACACTTGTTGAATGAACACTCCCCCCCCAAAAAAACATGATTTTTTTTTCAAAATGATTCCCTTGCTTTATTTAAAAATGTTCTTAAAACCTATGGTACTGAGAAACAGTATATTGGAACGTAATTTAAATTCCTAAAGGCACTCCATATGCATTTATATCCTCCAAGATTTTCTCTATAAATTTCTGGTGAATATCACAGTTTTATTCTACATGACTATGAAAACAACAAAATTTGTGTGTTTCTTACTGTTTTTTTTAAAAGTGCATTGACATGAAATATTATGTAATTTATTTCTTGCTTACATGAAAAAAAGCTCTAAAATTTATTTTGTTTCCTTTTCCATTAATGAACCTTGATTTCATTCCAAAAGTCTATTTCTGAACTCTTCTTCCTTCAAAATATTAATCTTTAGCTTTCTGTCACTTCCCGGTTTACAAATCATGACCCTAACCATTTTTCCTTGAAAATATATTGCATCTGTTTGTGCCAAATAAGATATTTTGTAACTCACATGTACAGTTCATTTACATCAATTTATCACCCCTCAAATTAACCCTATCAAATATTTTAATTTTGTTTAAACTACTTGTCTATTGAATACATAAAATTGCTATCTCTTTGCATTTTTCGAACTAAAAGACATTAATTTAATCTCTTTTCCACATATTTTCCACTTAAAAACATTAACTTTATGGCTTTCCACTATTTTCCTGCAGTGGCGGATCCAGAAATTTTGAAAAAGGGGTGGGGTGTCCAAACCAGTTTGAGGTCAGAGTAGGGTCCCACAGTCACACCTAAAAACATTGATTTATCAAATATAATTGAAATGTGTATTTTTCTGGACACAAAAAGGGGGGGGAGGGGCTCCTAGGCCCCCACTCTAAATCCGCCAGTGTTATAATGTGATTAATTTGGTGTCTCTCTGACTTTTTCCATACCTGATAACATTAATGTGGTGCCTCTCTATCTTTTTCCTGAGCTCTGCTATGACACTGTGAAGTTCTGTGATCCTCTCCTCATATCTCCCTGTGGTGATCTCAATCCTTGTGTCACACTCATGCTGCAGTCTCACTTTATCTGCCTGTAATATGGTTACAATACAAACATCTACATGAAAGACCCTCCTAATTTTTTTTCTTGGGTGGAAGGGGGAAGTTAAGGAAAAAACGACTGCAAACTGATATCTCTCAAACATTATAATAATGTTTTTCATTTATGCCATACTATATTTACCGTATAATCCCTATTAACCGCCCGGGGCACTTAGAAAATTGCAAAAAGGGGGCGGTCAATTTGGTATTTTTAAAAATAATATTTATTTTCTTTTTTTACCCCAAAAAATTCAAAGAACCACTAAAATAATGTTTAACTTTACTTTAAGTGAAGATAATCTAATCAAATTATGCTATATGATTAATTTTCCACCGAGAAATTGGATAATAGACAAGTTACATTTTCACTTTCTTTAAATTTTGGCAAACTTTTGATACGATTCTAGATGATTTTAATCACAGTACAGGGGGCCCTTATTTACTGATATATGAAAAAAGACCCTTGGGGGCGATTATAGGGGCAGGGGCGGTTAATAGGGATTATACGGTATACTATATAGACTATACAGATTTTAACATCTCCCTCTCTGACAGCCCACTTCTTTCTGGGGGTGGGGTGGTGGAATTATGCAGGATTGTTCCTTAAACCTGGCCTGGGGGCCATAAAACTTAGACAAGCTCACTTTTTATCTCAGTCTCACTTTTCCACTATTAATTCCTTTGGTAAAAGTGAGGTGGTGAGATCACACATGGTTTTTATAGCCCCCAGGCCTGGGGATAGAGGAATTTTCCCACCTATAATGATATAATCCCCCAATATTATAGCATTTCTCCTCAATCAGCTGTTGGGGTAAGGAATCTGGTCCACCTTCTTCTTTTCTTATGTCCAATGCTTTTTTTTTTTTAATTCTTAGGGACAGCCCCCCCCCCCCTCCTTCTGAGGGGCTAAATATCTCATACAGATGTAAACATTACCTGTATCCTGTTGATCTGTTTCTCTAGAACATCCCGCTCACTGGTCACATGATGAAGCCTGTTGTTTAGTTCTATTATCTCCCCTTTCAAAGATGTCAAAGCTGCTAGGTGGAGCTGAAAATATAAGAACCCACAATGAAAATCTTTTTATTAATAAGCAGATCATTGTAAAAATTCCCATATGTACCTTAGAATTGAAAAGATGTCATCAAACAAAACAGCTGAACATTAATGTTTTGGACACCAATGTTCAAGTGAGCAAATTTTTAACAATCCACTCTTACTCCTGAGTGTTCATTCTCCCTTTTTCTGTTAATTTTGACCATTGTACATGTATATTATCAATGATTTTGACAATCCCATGATGTTAAAGATGCAGGTACAATTCAATTAATATTTTCATAAAAATTCATTTATAGTATATTGAGCTTAAAAGTTTTTAATGGAACTCTTACATATTTTGGTTCTCTTTCCACCTTACAATTAAAACCTGATTCCGATTTAATTTCATGTAAAGTGTCAAGAGTTGTTTTCCTTGAATTGAGTTCTTTTTCATCGTAAGACCAAGAACGTTTATATGAGTGAAATCGAGTAGATAGACTTAATAATTTTATTTCCTGTAAAGTGTCAAGGTTTGTTTTTCTGGAGTCCAGTTCTTTTTCGTCATAAGACCACGAACGTTTATACATGTGACAGGGGGGTCTTGGTTTAGACTGTGTGGAAAGATTAACCAAAGATTCATATTTTTCTAATCGTTGTTGAACAAGACTCCCAAATTTTCTATCCTTTTTGAGATTCATATTTGCAAGTTAAGTTCTTAAATTCAAAACACTCCTTCAATCATATATGGAATAAGAGCCATGAATTGCTGAACGAAATTTAAACTCCTGTTCTTCAAATCACAATTACATTAATTCAGAAAATACAGCAGAAAATGAAGAATAATTCCATAACAAGAAACTCCATAGTCAAGCTACTAATGTCCGAGATTATGATGAAATCAATACAACTGGTCACAATCTTAAATTCAGATCAAAATTGAAGGAAGAAGAATTTTTGCTGAATTTTGGCACTTAGTGTTCCCTGATGTAATTCAATTTGTTAATTAGCATCAATCCCTTCTCACTCCACTTTTTATTACAATTAAATATTTCAAACTTTTCCTTGATCAATATCACTTCCAATTGAAAACAAACTCCATTTTTGTCATAAATAATGAAACAAATCCAGAGTTTATATAAGAGCTTTTGGAATATTTTTGCAAAAAAAGTTTAAAATAAATTATCTTCACATTTTGTTTGAGTGTGACCTCTTATGACATGAGGCACACAACAGGGAATTCAAAAATTGAATATTTTAAATATTTATTTAATAAATATTGAATGATTTTTTTAAAATTTTAACTTTATAAAAGCAAAAGAAAAGCCTCTTTTTTAAATCAAATTCAAATTTTCCTTATATATGTATAACTATATCAAATATTAAAAACATGACTAAAATATTTTTGAAATAAAACTTCGAACCTTTGGGAAACCCCATAAAACACTTGTTGATATATATATACTTTCAAGCTTATATAACTATCTACAAGCAGACCTACATACTAGAGAATCAGGAAACTTGAGTTCCTTCCTCAATAAACTCTTGTCCAATGACAAGGAAAATATCTGACCCCCTTAAAAAACCTCAAAAGATTTTAACTATTTTATATAAGCCTGGACATCCTTCCCTTGCTCAATGTTGATTCTATTATGTGGGTATTTTAGCAGCTGTTGGGTTTATGTCATTTTTAAATGCAGGTAAAGTATTTCTGAATTCTTTTCTCAGTTTTATCTACGCACACCAAGATTGTATTGTAAAATTTTAAACTGGTCATTTATTCTATAATAAGTCAGGGACCTAATTATTCAAATACTGTAAGTAAAGGTCCCTGGTGAAGTGTTTAATTTAGGCCAGCCATTAATGAGTTTTTTTTTACTTCAAAGAATCAAATAAATAAGGGGGGGCCCTACCTCTTTCCCTACATGTCAATTGAATTAAAATCTCAATATTTTTATAAATTTGATGCTTTAAGAGTAAAAGATCTATCCTAAGGCTTATGACAAATAATAAATAAAGAACCATTGTAACTAAAATACTGCAAGTGTTGGCCTATTTTAGTTAATGTGTTATGGCAGATTTCTTTTTGGAAAAAACCTGCATCAATTAATCAACAAAATCAACATACTGCATCCTAATTTAGTAAACTAATTTACATTTCTGATAACTATATTAAGATCAGTCATTAACTTTCATTTTTTGCTGAGAGAGAGATGGGAGAGAGATCGAGAGAGAGAGGGTTGGTTTTTATACATATTGCAATCAGTCAGAGAGAGGGAGAAACTGAACATGCTTAAAATAGCTTAAAGTTTCCATTGATAAATCTGTGAATGGTTAAACACATGACTGACTCGGAATGTGTAACAAGGAAATAGACAAGATCACCTGGCAGTTTGGATTATCCTCCATACAGCTGTGGTGTTGTTTGGGCTGGTTACCGTGGTAACCGTTCACATAAATCCTCTCGTATGTAGGAGATTCTACAATTCCTGCTCCTTCCATAAGTGAATTCTTAATTTCTCCAAAATAATTCCTGATGAAACTTTATTCAGATTCTTAATTATCAAAGCATTTTGATAATTATTTCAAGGTTTTAAAACAAAATTAATATGAAAAGATGATTATCTTTGAAAATTCTCTATCCTCCACACATGGTATGAGAGCATTCCATTCAGAAAATAAACCATAATGGTTACACATTTCTATCCCATTCAACTTCTGTTTCGATAAAAGTTAATTTTCTATCAATATTATCAGTGCTGTGTAAATATGATCTCTTTTTGTTTCTTGGTTATATCATAACTATAGGCAATATGAGCCTACACAGCATTTCTCAAATTCCATTGATTTTACACAATTGGCTTTTTACCAATATTCAATTTTCCACTGGAAGAAGCAACATCACTTTATTAAAATTCCCCATGTTATAAAGGATATTTCATCTAGTTCAAGTTCCGTGTTATATTAATTTCATTCCAAAAATTTTTATATTTTCAAAAATGATAAACAATGCAGGTCAAATGATTAATTAATAAATTTGTCTGTGAAAAAAAATCTCAAATATCCATCTCACAGTGAATTTGTTTATATTCTCAGCATGTTGCATCTCAAACAAAAACATTTCCCTAAATTCCACAATTTCAGTCCATCACTGACTTGACTTGTGTCTGAATACTTCCAAACATCACTATAAATTCCATAATTTCTTATAAATATCTTGTTGGCTGAATTTTCACAGAACAATAAATAAAAAAAATCCCATGTATAAATCCTACATGGCCAATCACCACAACGAATGTTTATGGTATTTGGACAAAAGTTATCATTGGGAAAATAATCTCCAGATTCAAGCACTCCAAAACAATTTTTGCTAGATAAAAGATTTCAATATGCAATGTCTCCTTCATGTAGTATCATGAAATTGTTAGTTTGTTACTCCTATTCCTTAAAATAAACCTAGCTCACCAACATCAATAAAACTTGTTATCTAATCCTGCAGTCAAAACACTTTAACTTTATGTCAAAACACTCCAAACTTACATCCTAACTCCTCAGAAAAATTATAACTACAGACACATTTCACAATCATAAGAAAAACTCAATGTTGCTGCACTATTGAATATTTCTCTCTCTCTCTCTCTGGCCGTCTGCTTGCACTTATATCACGTAAGTTTCAGCATCTAACTGCCGTCTGCTAAAAATACTGCAGACACACGTATTCAACTCAACTCATATACAATAATTTCTATATCAATGTCAGTTGCTCTTAAATCTGATAAAAATGTCTTGCCATCACACTGAAATTCTTCAAAATGAATCATTCACCTAGAAAAAACATTTCTCAGTCTAGTACAAAGTTGAACAACGTGCCACTGGGCAACATGCTGTGTTTATATATAAAGGGATTATTCATAGTTCTGTCCTCTATCATGCCCTATTGATAGCTGGAAGTTCAATATCATATTGTACAATTAGTTTGTATGTCACTGGATTAAATGGTTTCCATTACTTCTAACATTTCTCTCAAATAAGATGAACACTGAACTATTAATTCCATCTACACTAGCTTCATGTACATTTTGATTAGATTAATGCTGCCATGTAACACTAAAAAATTAAATATTATTAAATTCAAAATTTTTTAGATCCACTCTGTTTACACTCTGCATAGAGTGTAATACAACTCAGATCTAAAAAGTCTGAATTTGATTTAGGTCTTCAATCCCTAATAGGAAGAAATTCAATGAAATTGAAAACATAAAAGATATGTAGGCATTCAATACTCAGATTATTTAGACATAGTTCCCATTTATTACTATAAGTATGTTTAGTGGGATGTGTCCTAATTCATGACCTTGAATTTTGGTAAGAGTTATCTCCCCTTTTTTTATTTAATTAAAAAAAATCAATTAAAAAAAATTTAGCTGGTAAAAAAATTGTTTTCAATTATCATTCTATTTTTGATATTTCAATGCATCTTTCCACCACAGGATTTATTGATATTCAAATTATTTGAATTTTTATTTAAAAAAAAAAACCGCTTTTCCCCATAGACTTCAATGCATTCTTTGTTAATTAACTACTCCTTAATTAATGAACTTTTTGAAGATTTCTCCTGGGCAATCCTTTTCCACTATAAAATGCTTTAATATAATATCAGAATATTGTGTACTTGACGGACATTTAAAGGTAGAGAATTTGGTCCCATTAGGGATTGAAATCCTTAAAATGAAAATGGCTACTAAATTTTTAAAAAACGATCGATACTGCTTTGCTGATTTAAAAAATAACTTGTCATAATGCAGTCTGCTTGATTATTGAATCTCATTTTTATTTTTTTTTTTGGGGAGGGTGTGTGTGTGGGGGGTGTTCTAAGTAGTAGAGTTTGAAGTACATTTATTTTAAAACATGCACTATTTAATTTCTTATGCATCTACTTCACACAGACAAGTCACCACTCAGACAAGCAAAGTACAAGTACTTTCAATTGACCTTTTTTCTCTGAAAATTGTCAAGAAGATTTTAAATCATGTGTTAGCAAAACAAAAAGAAAATTTTAAGTTACAAAAAAAATGTGTAAATCAACTCTAACAGTGTCTAATTTACACTGACTTATATATATTTCATCCCTTGTAAACTCTATTTTTTCTTTACAAAAAATGGTAATATCATATTAAACTGCAATTTTTCAACCCCTATCTGTTGCACTCAAATTCTAGTACAACTGTTCCATGCATCCATAAAATTTTTCAGAAGCAACAAGTCAGACAATCAATACTAGAAATCCTGTCCTCTGACATTTTGCTCAGTTAATGATGTCTTATGCAAATGCACAATTCAGGAATACACTTTATAGATTTTTTCTTCTCTTCAAATACTGATGAAGGAAATTAAAGTTTTAGTGATGTGGATTTTTCCTAAAGGGAATAATAAATGTTTCATCTTTGTCAAAAGCACTATTAAAGTTTTCAGCATTGATTCCACATGTATTAAAACTTTCTTCAATATCCAAACCAATTTTTATTTTTACTAATATTAATTTTTAATATATTTTAATGCATCATTTTTTTAGACACATGAATTTACATCAATTTTTATTATCAGTTATTTTTTTTAAAAAAACATGTTTAAAATATATAATTGTGTTGTTAAAAATCTTCATCATATTTTTTTTAACCTAGCTGTTATACAGAATTTTCACCCTAAAAAGAGAATTCCTGAAACATCCAAAAATTTTCTTCAATGTTAGCCATGAAAAATCCCTTGTGACAATTTGATGATTTCTGCCAAAATTCTGACAACACTAATAAAACACAACAGAGGCAAAAAAATTCTACTAATCTATATTGGCTTGGAATTCAACAGATGGTAATTGATCGACCATAATCAAAAAGTCAACAAACTCTAACATGTCTAAACACTCCTAATCAACTGGAAGCTTTGTATTATTTCATTATCATCATTTAGTTCTGTTTACTCTAATTCATAAATCCCATTGTCTTCATCAGCCCACCAAAAAATGCTATCAGATTTATATTGACTTCATCTTTTGTGCAAACAGTGACTTGTGTGACTGTATGGATTTTAAATATCTGTAATTTTTGGTTCTTTTATTTTTTAAAGTTGACTGTTTGCAATTTATGATAGATGAATGCACTGACAGTTAAATTATTAATAAATTACAAGCAGTAGATAAAATGATTAAATGAAATCAATCGATTTCATGCTTATAATTTTTTTTTCGAAAGTTCTAGAAGAATATAAGAAATATCCCTTCAAGCCTAGATTTTTTTTCTTAATAAGAAAACTTTAATTCTACATAGCAAAGGGATTTTTTTTAAGAAAAAGGCATGGATACCACGGTAAACTAAAATATTTAACATAGTAATCATGGAATGTTTACGCAGACCTGGTAAAAATGGGAAAAAAAATATCCAGCTTCAAAAAGAACAACAAATATGAAAATCATGCACGTTCAACCTACGATGCTAAAAATAAAATATAAATGAAACAAAAACAACTTTCATGAGCATTTCCTTCAGCATTCAAAGCGACTCTGAGGTCCCTAATTTCCGATCGATGTTTGTAATGGCTTGAGAAAAAAGAAACCTTTCAAGTGACAAAAAAAATCAAATTTGCATGATTTACTGCAAAATCAACAATTTTGTCTCTTACTTAGCTGGCAAATTAGCACACCAAAAAAAAATCAATTCTGAAATAAAAATCTGCGAAATCAATGATTGAAAACATGGGATTGGGACAAGAATCTGAAATCTTAGAAACCAAGATAATGGGGAATAGTATCAATAATGCAGGAATATTGTTTAAAGTTAGGTGTTTTCCCCAGAATTGATTTCTCAGCATATCGCAGACTGTTATTGAGTCTGGAAACCTTTAACCAAATGCTGTAGACATTCTCCAAGTTCAACACTGTTTATGTAATTAGACTTCTTTACTTTCCTTTGATCAGAGAAAAAAAAATTGCAACATCAGTAAATATTGTATGAACATATTCTTTCTTTATCCATTAAAATTTTCAGTTGGAACAAATAAAACTTGAGGCATTAAGGTTGAGTTTTGAAACAGAATCTAATAGTAATCACATGGTAACTTATTTGATATATATCAATACAAATGTTTTAGCCTTTGATCAATCTTGCATCCTTGATGAGTTGAATATCTTGGCTTAATTAACAAATTCCATTTCTACTGCCAACAATTTTCTAATAATATATACAAATATTATTTAAACTAAACCCATTTCACCTTATAGGGAACAGCTAGATTTTCTCCATTTTACTAATAAATGTAATATGCAACAAAGTTGAGATTTAATCTGATTAATTCAACTATCACAATTAACATGTCAAAGATAAACATGATAAAGGGCATTAAACACATTTTTTCTTGTTTCAATCCTTTTTTATTAAACTTAAATATATCAGCAACATGAAAATTTTATACTACAGATTGTGTGTAAAGTTATTTTCCTGTACTTACACAATTGATCTTCCAAAAACTATACATGAGCAATCATATACCTTTTGGGGGTGGGGTTGGGGATTAAGTAGGGGTGTTGTTGATGGTTCTTGCAATGGGAATAGGGTCAAAATTCAGTCAAACGTGGCCTTGTGTATTATCCCTGTATCGAAATTGTAAAACACATCCATTTACAAATGCTAAACAATAACAAGCTGTTCTCACCCTGTTTATATCACATTTGGGAAGAAGGAAAGGTTTCTGTAATGGAAATAGGGCTAAAATTTCACCCTACACCAAAGAGTGGAAATTCTCTGAATGGATGAGTAAATAACTTCTCTTCATGTGTGCCTAGATACTAACAACTAACAATACATGTACTCACCTTGTTAACCTGCTTAACTAATTCAAGATTCCATTGATTAACATTCACCCCCCCCCCTTCTTCTATGCCTGTTTGAAATGTAATATGATCCTGTTATAAAGTTTGTTTAGGAATTAAGCATTTGAGAATATGGAACAATTTGAAGGAGTAAGTGAGGGTTTTTGCAAAGGAGATAGCATCAAAATTCAGTCTAAACCTGTGACAATGGAATACTAGTACCCCCTTGGGATTTTTCCATCACATCTCATCACATGTGTGAAAATATTAACAAGCTTTACTCACCCTGTTGGCCACATCCAGGATTTCCGTTCCGAGCCTGTCGTCCTGAGCTAAGCTGAGGAGCCGGGGATTATGGGATTCTACGAGCTGATGTAAGCTGGCGGGCTCAGGACTCATGTCTCTAGCCCCACTGTCATAATCTAGGCTATCCGGCTTACCCGAGTACGCCCCTAATTAAAGATAAAATAATAAAGACAACTCAAAAACAAGAGTATATGTTGCCCTATAAAAATCATAGTCTAGATTATCTGAATTACAGGATTGAGTATGTCCCCAAAAATAATGTCATAATGCAGACTTAACAAAAGTATGTTCTGAAAAGCAATGAACATGATGAAAGTTAAAGTTAATATATTATTCTGTACAATGTACATCAATGGGTGTATTTTTATTACTGGGTGCTTCAAGAATATATTTGTGTCAACATATGCTTCCCTTCTCTAATAATCTACCTTCACTTAATCCCCTTCAGCAAAACCCTAATTCTACTAGTTTAAGATCAATTTGTACACCAGGGGCTGCGGGCCACCGCTGACCTGTCCATAATTTTCTTTAGCAGTTTAAAAATACAATTTTGTGGATTACATAACAATAAAATATACACCTATAGGAAAGAAATAAATGAAATACTTTAAGAATGTACAAAAGCAGAATTACCAAAGCTGTCACTGGACATAGTGGGCCATGAGGTAACATTATCTGGATTGCGTAAAGCCCCACTCAAATCAGAATCAATTCCTTGATCCTCCACTCCAAGACTTACATCTAACTCCTCATTTTGTACCTAAAAAAAAAAGAATTGTAAATTATTAATAAATACATATAAAATCAGAATAAACTTTTTCACTGATGAGTTGCTATAATTTTAATCATTTATGGCTCCGACAAATTAATGTAACAATATCTCCTTAAGTTCTATCGAAATATGGCTGAAATATTGCTGACTCTGTGTTTTGAAATATTGCTGACTTTCTGTTAAACAGTTACCAAACACCTAAAATCACCTTGTATTAGGCATGCAAACATTGCTTATGTAGTACAATTGATAGGTTACTTTAGAGCTAATGAAAATGTACAAGTGTTGTGTCATTACATTTTTTTTTTCAGCAGAGTCTATCACCAGAATCTGACAAGTTCATCAGAACATGACATTATGGAGTAAATTAAAGTGGTTTCGTTCAACGACAGAGAGTACAACAATACCTGGCCTCTGAACCTCAGAAAGTCCTGCAAGGTGATCTTGCTTTGTGACTGTAGACCAAGCTGTTCCATGATTTCTTGGGCCATATCCTCCATATTCAGTTGGCGACACATGTAGATGAAATCATCACTGAAAATTTAAAATCAAAGTCTCATTTCTTGTAATCAGTAATACATGTATTACAATTACATTCCTGCATGTATAATGTTGGCTTTATCTAAAAAAAAAAAATAAAGAAAGAAAATATTGCATTTGATAGTTTTATTCTTACTTAATCAATAATTGGTAAGTTAAAAATTGTTCTCATTATCTGAGGTTTCAAAACATTGATGTAAATAATCATGATAATGAATCATTGATAATTAATCAACACGCAAATATTATGTTTGGTACAAACATGACAAAGATTCCTATACTATGTATCAACCATTCTGGACATGTGCACCAGGGCTCTCACACCACTTTTTGGGACTGGGGCCGGGGCCGGGGCCGTTCAAATTGGGAAAATTATCGTCATTTTGGGAAAAGTTGGATAACAAAAATTCATTAAAAAAAATCCTCAAATTTTGCTTTTCTAGCATTTTATCATCAATGCTAACTCTGGTTTGAATAAACAGTTAAACAGAACAAACATGGGTACGTAGGCTATTTATAAAAGTACATTAGCTTTGTCATTACTATCTTTGAGTGTTGATATTGCGGTTATATGTCTTACTGCGTGACAGTTGCTAGTCACATATTCCTGAATTTCCTCGATCACATGGGCAACTTTGCTTACCAATACAGCGCGAAACTGAACATGCCGAAGCGCGGGTATGTTTCTAGGTGCAGCTTACTAATGTTTAAATGAAATGTCTGGTTTTTGTTGAAACTACTATTAACAAGATACTCTGCACTCAGAGTTGTATACATTTTTGTAAAAACAATAACCTGGTTCCCCGAACCAGTTTACGAATGCATTTGGCGCGAACTAATAAAATAGTGGTACAGTTTCACTTTCATTTGCAAGTGTGTTTTGTTTGGGTTTTTTTTTGCGATTAGGTTTGATGGACTTTTATTTTTTAATTAATATTTTACTCTGGATGGAAATTGGGAAATTTACACCTTTATTTTGGGAAAAAAAGGTACCTTTTTTGCATTGGGAACGGAACCGTTGAACGGCCCTAATTTTAGAGAATCGAGAGCCCTGCTGCACACTCAAATAACGGCCGGAAATTTTTTAAAGAGTGACTTTTTTTTAAGCTTTTAAAGTCCCAAAGTTGATAGATACTTAAAAAAATATCTTCATATCATTTTTTCCTTGCAAAAAAAAAAACCACTTAAATCTGAAAAAAATCTTTTGTGAAGACTTAAGCAGTCAAGGGCATCATGGAAATAAGTTATTTTTGAAATGATTTGTTTAAGTTATTAAATGTCAACATTTTGGGTTATCTTTCCCTGATTATGCATTTCTTCAGTAACTTATTCCAGTTATTGATACTTTACTATTCATTATTGTAAACCTACTGGTATCTGAAAGGCTTTAGTCATGCTGTGCTTGGGTTATTAAGTAGAGGGAAAAGGTTCATGACAGTAAAAGTAATCTATCTTTACAATCTAGCACATTGAAATTCCACAAATCATAACTTATTTCTGTTCTTTCATCCTTAACCCACCTCACTTTAGAACTCTTGCACAAAAATATACAGCTTTGCACAAAAAATGTAAGACTTAGAGATTGTGCAGTAATGTCCAAAGATTATAAGAAAATTAGTCTCAGCGGAAGATGTGTAATTAACCTCTGAAATGTTCATGAAATGAAATTATTTTTCCTTAAAAAAATTCATGATATTTTTTTAATATCATCCTAACTGCCTTGGCAAACCTGATAGGTATTTTACTTTTTAAGAGTTAACTCAAATGAGTTACTTCTTTGTACAGTCATAAATAAGCGCAGTAACCTATACAAGTTATTTTATAAAATAACTTGATTCCATGATGCCCCTGACTGTTAAGCAGATCCATTGGCATTGTAAAAAACTTCGATTTACGTCACCAAATTTTTTTCGCTCACTTCAGGTATTGTTTCTTGTAGTTTATGCATTCTCCTGCTTTTAGAACGGTATCCGATTAGATAATTAATCATATTTCTAACTCTTACTCTTCATACTTAAATTATTTACCTTTTAACGGTCCAAAACAGTACTGATTTTAGTTTTGTAATGTTGATTAAAAAGAGTCCCATTTCTAGGTCCATCACCACAAATGGCCTTTTATTAGTGTTGAAAGGTGAATAAAATATCAGAAATTGGTGTAAAATGTATGGCTAATTATCATAATAACATACCATTTTTAAAGCTACAAAAATACAAGAACTACCGGCAGCTGTCTACTGCAGAACATATGTAACAATCGCAGATTGTGTTTCAGAAATCAGCTGGAAGCACTGTTTTAAATAGTTAGATCCGCCTTTTAAAATTTTACACATTTTACCTGCACAGGAATCCGTCGCCATCTCCATCACAACTGTTGAAAAGTCGACGCAAACGTTCCTCCTCTCCCGTGCTGCTGGAATTGCTTCCCGAGGAGGATCCAAAGTCTTGGGAGGTGGGGGAAACATCGCGGCAGAGAAGTCTATCATCCATTCTTCTTGTGTAGCACCATAACTGGGGAATTTTGCCGCTAAAATACGGCTAACATCTTTTTAAAAAGTTAGAGAAAATTCGTTGACGTTGTTTATCTTCTCGCAGAAACCGGAAATGATGAATTTGGCGACACCTGCAGAGGGAGAATTACGATCCCGATGCAAATACGAAAAGGGGGAGGGGTCCCAGAGGTCGTTGTCATGAAGAATCCCCGAATTCCCAGTTACAGAGTTTCTTCATAATATCAATTATTTGCAATAATTTGTCAGTAATTTTTTTTTATTACTACCAGTGAAAATAGGATGAACTATAATTAATTACTCCATGAAAATTATATATGCTTCCTCTGGATACAATATTCCAGTAGCAATTTAAGAGGCAGAGGAGCGTACATGTATTTTTTCAAGATTTCCCATCAGATAAGCATTCTAATATTTAATCAAATCAAAAAAATAAAAATTCTTACCTGTAGATCTTCAAAGCCATGTCATCCAAACAACCAAAGCAATCTTCTTTGTATTTTTTTCGGAACAAGGCTATGCATGCACAATTCTTGATGCTTTCTTTAATTTGCTGTTTCCTCTCATGGGCCTCCTCCCATCGCCCTTCTTGATGCCTTCTTTAATTTGCTGTTCCCTCTATAGCTAATGGGCCTCCTCCTAACGCCCTTCTTCATGCCTTCTTTAATTTGCTGTTCCCTCTCATGGGCCTCCTCCTAACGCCCTTCTTGGTGCCTTCTTTAATTTGCAACTCCCTCTCATCAGCCTCCTCCTAACACCCTTCTTGATGCCTTCTTTAATTTCCTGTTCCCTCTATAGCTAATGGGCCTCCTCCTAACGCCCTTCTTCATGCCTTCTTTAATATGCTGTTCCCCCTCATCAGCCTCCTCCTAACACCCTTTTTGATGCCTTCTTTAATTTGCTCTTCCCTCTCATGAGCTTCCTTCTTATGCCTTTCTTGATGCCTTCTTTTATTTGTGGTTCTCTCTTATGGGCCTCCTCCTTACGCCCTTCTTGATGCCTTCTTTTATTTGCTGTTTCCTCTCATGGGCTTCTTCCTCACTCCCTTCTTGATTCCTTCTTTAAATTGCAGTTCCCTCTCATCTGCCTCCTCCTAACACCCTTCTCGATGCCTTCTTTTATTTGCTGTTCCCTCTCATGGGCCTCCTCCTAACACCCTTCTTGATGCCTTCTTTAATTTGCTCTTCCCTCTCATGGGCTTCCTTCCTATGCCTTTCTTGATCCTTCTATAATATGCTGTTCCCTCTCATGGACCTCCTCCTAACGCCCTTCTTGATGCCTTCTTTTATTTGCCATTCTCTCTCATCTGCCTCCTCCTAACACCCTTCTTGATGTCTTTTTTAATTTGCAGTTCCCTCTCTTGGGCCTCCTCATAGGGCACTTCTTGATGCCTTCTTTTATTTCCTGTTCCCCCTCATGGGCCTCCTCCTAACACCCTTCTTGATGCCTTCTTTAATTTGCTGTTCCCTCTCATGGGCCTGAGCCTCCTTACGCCCTTCTTGGTGCCTTCTTTAATTTGAAGTTCCTTCTCATGGGCCTTCTCCTAACACCCCTCTTGATGCCTTCTTTTATTTGCAGTTCCCTTCATGGGCCTCCTCATAACGCCCTTCTTGATGCCATGTTTTATTTGCTATTCTCTATTGGCAGCCTGTTCCCGACCTAATTTTTCGCCCTCCTCTAATTAATTGTAACGCCTCGGTGGCCTCATCATGACCCCCTGGCTTCTTACTCTCTCCCCCTTTAGATTACTGCTCCCTTGTTCCCCCTGTGGCACCAGCCTCCTCATTTCCCTCCTCCTCCTCCCCCCTGGGATATGGATCCTCATCCTCATCTTCCTCCTGGATCATCATCATTGTTACGATGTCCTGATCCATATCCCAGGGGCGGATCCTGGATCTTCTGGAGGTTGTATTAGAACAGCTGGCCTGAGGAAAAATATGATCAAAGTAAGAAACATGATTAGCAAGGAATTCATTTTAAAAGTGATTTAATTATTAAGGGTCAAATAAAAATATGATAACGTACAGTAATGATACGGATCATGTTGTAATGAACCATTTTCCCCAACCTAAAACCCCGACCCTCCATCCCCCCACCCCACCCCTACTCTAAAAAAAGAAACAAGAAGCCCATGTGCCACATCGCTCACCTAAGCAATGTGGCTAGGAAAAAAAGCAGAAATCAGTTTATTATTGAAAAGTTTAAACCCATGGCATATAGTAGTCCCCACAAATCCTTAAAGGGGAGAGGGTATGATTTGAATAAACTTGAATCTACACTAAAGATGCTTGCATATTTCTTTGACTACCTGCGGCTTTATTGCCCTTTACATTATTTTGAAGTTACATTGTGGCCCCGCCCTACCCCCAGGGGACTTGAGAAGAAAATTTTTAAAGAATTTCCCTATATATTTCTATGTAAAACTTTGCTCGGCCATTGTAGCCCCGCCCTACCCCTGGGGGTCATGATTTCAACAAACTTGAATATACACTACCTGAGGATGCTTCCTTTTAAATATGATCATTCATGCCTTTGCTATTCTTGAAAAGACGATTTTTAAAGAATTTCACTATATATTTCTGTATAAAATTTTGATCCACCATTGCGGCCCCGCCCTTCCCCAAGGGGTCACGATTTGAACAAATATGAATCTACACTACCAGAGGATGCTTCCCCATAAGTTTAATCTTTCCTGGCACAGTGGTTCTTGAGAACAAGATTTTTAAAACTGACCTCCTGCCCCTCCTGCTGTGACCGGTTGACCGGGGCAGATTTTGCCCGTTGCTGTTTGTTAGGCCTGCTGTCTTCTTTTTCAACAGTGTCAGTGAATCTTTTCATCCATTTTTGAACCCTCTTCCACTTGTAGGCCATCTCTATATTTTTCTTTTTTTCTTTTTCCTTTGAAGTCTTAGCCCTCGATGATTTAGGCCGGATTTGTTTGGTAGAAGAAAGTGGCCTCTCTGCAACGCTAGCCTGTTAGAAATGATGTTTGCTCGTAATATGTAGGTTCAATATCGTTAACCCCTCCCTCTCAATAAATTCTTTAGATTTCAGTTCTAAAAAAACGTTCTTTCCAAAATTTATCAAAAGGGGAGGGGGGCTTCTTTTGATTTATTGATGAAAAGAGAGTCTAATTAAGATGTTGTGCATTCATTTAACTTAAGCGCCCGGCAATAAAAAAGAATGACAATTGAAGACATGATTAAGGTGAAATGATTAAGAAAAAAATGAATATTATTATTTTTTTTTTTTATTGTTCATATTTTTCCTCTCCAATTTATCATGAGAAAAAAGGAGAAATTTTCAAAATGTGTCAATTATAAAACAAACAAATTACGTTTTTTCTTGTGAATTTGATCTTTAAAATGAAGATATTCAATAGTAGAAAATGATATATTTTAATAGTTTAGAATTTTCATAGAGATTTCACAATACAATCTACTTGTATATATACATGTAAATAAATTAGCGTATTCAAAATTTAGCGCTATGCATTAATATAATATTATCGAGTATTCATGAATTACTGTAGTTGTTGTTATAAAAGCCGCTAAAATTTGAAGCCTGCTTTTTTAAGCACACACGTTATTGAAATTTTAACACTTGTCCTCGCTTTCAAAATAATTGACTCAACAAAGATGTAAATACTTTACAGTGTTTAGAAATCTTGTTTTTGTTTTTTTTTTTTCAAAACAAACCCTCGTGTGCCTTTGTCTGTTTTAATTGCATGTACATGATTTAATTAACTGGACTTTAAAAAAGACTGAATAGATTTCTTTAATAAAAAAATCACAACACCGAAATAATTTCTTTATATATATATATATTTATATTCCTTTTACAGGGTAAATTAAATACGCGTATTTTATAATGATTAAAATATCTTATTTGCCGGTAAAAATATTTACCTTTTTGCCTTTTATTTTCTTCTTATCTTTGAGAACCTTGATCTTTGGCTGGGACATAGGGAGGGGAGTCCGCGGCCTGGCCCCAGTGGCAATGGGTGCTTTTTTGCTGGGAGAGGTAGGGAGGGCAGTTCGCGGCCTGGCCCCAGTGGCAGCGGGCGCCTTCTTGCCGGGAGATGTAGCCGGAGTTGGGTTGACCTCCTCCCCCTCCTCTTCTGTTTCACAGCTGGGAAGAATTACGACAATATCCCTTTTCTGCCTTTCCTCTTCTTCTGGGGATTTAGAAAAGGTAACGACCTCTTCTAATTCTCCGGAGAAGGATACTTTTTTTGGATTCCTTGTCGGCTCGGCTGCTGGTTTTTCGTCATCATCTGGGGGCACTGATGAAGGGCGCTCGGCTTGGGTGTTACGGTCACTGCATGCTGGGGAGGGCGACCGTCCATCCATGGCATTCGGTACGAAGTCTTGTAAAGCCGAGTCAGTAACACCATTGGTACATGTGGAAGTACTTGGTTGTCCCGAATTCTCTTCCAGGCAATCGCGATTACTTTGCCCTTCTTCACCTTCTGTCTCCTTGCTTGCAATTGGTTCAGCCCTTTCATTTTCCGGGGGGTCTTGGTTGGAGCTATGGGGGGATCCATCAGATGGTTGAATATTCAAAGGTTGAATTCTTGTTTTTCGGAATAAGTTTGCTATTCGGCGGATGCCACGAGGGGGACCAGTCCTTCTATTTCTAACCCTATTTACTTCCTCTGGATTAGCGCATTTAGAGTTGATACAGCCCATTTATATTGCGAATTTATTTCCGTCAAAATTATGCAAACATAGATCTATACAATGGCTACACTACTATGACATCACAATAACAATTGTGACGTCATAATAGCCAATGAACTTTTACTTATCATGACGTCACATTTTTATATCCTTTTTGTTCTCATCTGAGTTACAGTGATAGGCCCTAGTTACGTCTTCTTTATAGAATTAAATGAATAAAGAGTAGAAACCTATTTTGTATTTTAAAAATTATCGATTTAAAAAAGTAATACATAATTTCATAATCTAATGGACCTGTGTTTGAAATGGTAGTAATTGGAGTAAATTTAAGTAAAATAGCGTTTTTAATAATTTGTGTTTAGTGCGTGTGTATGTAAATTATATTAAGAGATATGTTACAATAAGAAGCATTGACAATTCTTATTTCTTTTTTTTTTAATATATATATAAATTATAAAACCAACAAAATCCCACGCTAGATCCGCACATGTCTTAATTAATTCAGTGTACTTATATGCATGGCCGTAGGAACCGGGAAGGGGAGCCCCCCCCCCCCAATAATTTTGCATATGTACAGCTGTATATAGCAGTTCACTGTAGAAATCATAGCTACTGTACTAAATGATCACGCCCCCTCAATAAAAACGTAAGATAACTTTCTTTTTTTTGGGTGGGGTGAGGTTGTCTATCCGATTTTTTTTCAATCAGAGAGCTACAGATCTGCAGCTGGGGGGGGGGGGGGGTAGCTGCAGATCTGTAGCTCTCTGATTGAAAAAAATTCAGATAGACAAAAGCAGAGAACCCAATTTTTCAACCAGAGAGCTACAGATCTGTAGCTAGGGGGGGGGGGGGGGTGTTTGGTAGTTGAGAGTGCCCCTAAACAATGCTAAATGAAAATAAACGGTTGGCCCCCACCCCTGAAATTTCTTCCTACGGGCCTGAAATGACTGGGAAAAATAATCATAATTAAGACATTGAAATAGGCTACACCTTGACTTCTGTAGTTTGAATGAAATAATTAAATATCTGAATACATGTACTAGGAGTTGAAATGTGAAAATGCGTGTGAATGCATCGAAGTGCATATGTACAGTTGAGCCACTGCTAACAGGATTAGATACATGTAGTAGCTTTTCGTACTGGTAGATGCTTCGAGATGTTCATCATGCACAAAAATTTGTTGTCACAGTGACTATCATTCTCCCTCCTGAGTGGATATACTCTGGAAGACCATCCCGAGACAGGATAATAATACTGAGGGGCGGGAGAACATTTTTTTTTTTATTCTTAAACATGAAGTTAAAACAGTTTTTAATTTGACAAGACTTTGGAATGAATTTTTAAAAAATACAAGTATTATTTATCCATGTCATTTTTTTGCGTTGAACGCGGACCATAGTAAAGAGACAATCAATTTTTTTTTTTAATTTAAAGATGGCCTAATCAATGAAAGAAAAAGTGAGCAAGCTCACATACCCCACGCTCCCCCAAAAGTCAAAGTGCTGAAAATCCCGGAAAAAATGAAAGAATCGGAATTTTCCGGTAATATGCACATCTACACATTGTGTCCTAAATATCTTCAAAGTTTGATGAAATTCTGTGCAGCAGTTTATGAGGAGTTGCGCTGACAAACTGTTCATCACTATATTCAAGATATCCCCAAAAATCTAAGTTGTAAAGTGCCGAAATTCCCAGAAAAATAAAGGATTTGGAATTTCCTGGTAAAATGCACATCTATACATTGTGTCCTAAATATCTGCCAAGTCTGACAAAATTCTGTGCAGCGGTTTATGAGGGGTCGCACTGACAAAATGTTGATCTGTATATTCAAGGTATGGCCAAAAATCTAATTTGAAAAGTGCCAAAATTCCCAGAAAAATAAAGGAATCGGAATTTCTTGGTAATATGCACATTTACACATTGTGTCCTAAATACCTGCAAAGTTTGACGAAATTCTGTTCAGCGGTTTATGAGGAGTTGCGCTGACAAACTGTTCATCTCTATATTCAAGGTATGGCCAAAAATCTAGGTTGAAAAGTGTGGAAATTCCCAGAAAAAGTAATGGAATCGGAATTTCCTGTTAAATGCACATCTACACATTGTGTCCTAAATACCTGCAAAGTTTGACGAAATTCTGTGCAGCGGTTTATGAGTTGCGCTGACAAACTGTTCATCTCTATATAAAAGGTATGGCCAAAAACCTAAGTTTTTAGTGCGGAAATTCCCGGAAAAAATAAGGAATCGGAATTTCCTGGTAATATACACATCTACATATTGTGTCCTAAATACCTGCAAAGTTTGACGAAATTCTGTGCAGCGGTTTATGAGGAGTTGCGCTGACAAACTGTTCATCTCTATATTCAAGGTATAGCCAAATGCCTTAGTTAAAAAGTGCGGAATTTCCCGGAAAAAATAAAGGAATCGGAATTTCCTGGTAATATGCACATCTACACATTGTGTCCTAAATACCTGCAAAGTTTGACGAAATTCTGTGCAGCGGTTTATGAGGAGTTGCGCTGACAAAAAAAAGGACTGACTGACTGACTGACACTCTGACACTCTGACGGACGGGTGAAAAACATTATACCTCACGCAACTAGTTGCGTGGGGTATAACAATTCTTCCTAGTAAGTACATATTATAAATCCACCTAACCCCTTTCCTTGGGTATTCTGATTTATCAAATTTTTAAAATCAATGAAAAAAATTTTGCACCAGTGTATTTTAATTTCATTAGATACAAAACTAATGCATTATACAGTATACTGTTCCATTCAGTGATGCATAACAATGTACAAACAAAAAGGCAGAAAAAATGTTACACAAAGCAAAATTAATGAATTTCTCACAGAGATATATAATAAAGAATGGATGGATACAAGCTTCTAAAATGGCCCTTAATCTACATGTACCTATCCATCTATGTATGCATGATGAATTTCTAGTGCCATTTTACACCACACTGAACAGCTTGAATCAGGAACTACAAATATTATGATTAATATAATGGTCAACAATAAAATACATAACACCTATTTACATAAAAAAGCAGAAATGAATTTGCTACATAATTATTATAATCAATAGAAAAAAAAAAACTTTCATTATATGGCACTTGATTTGGAAAATAATCATAAAAGAAAAAATCATGTTAAATATGGAATGTACCCAATTCTTACATTTGGATACTGTACAAATCACTTTTTACTCACAAGCACTTTATTTTTGTACAATGTATACATGTACATGTATTTGTTTTGTAATGGATTCAATATAACAATCACAAATAAAATGTTGTGAAATTTTTTTCTCATTTATGAATCCAAATGATTACATCAAATATATGTACATACCTTGTCATGAAAATTAGGTAAACCTACCAGCTTTAAAAAAATTAATGTGGGTTAAAGTTCATCCAAAAAAAAAAAAAAATTGATGATGGCCTCACCTATACACAACTCATAAAAACTACATTTCCATTTTAAAAGTCTGGAAAAAAAACTTATATAGTGTATTTAAATTAATTAAATTAATTTTTGAAAATATTCTAAAATAATTTTGCATAAAGTAAGTTTCCTATGCGTTAATTTACAGATTTAAAAAGAAAAATGACGAATACATGTACTTTCAAATCATCATCCTCCATTTACAATTACATGTACCCCTGTTAAGTTTCATCACAGAAATACTGTATACAGGGAAATTTTCGCCCCCGTTTTTTTTTTTCACCCCTTTCGCCCTATCCTCATTTAGGTGAATTATTTGCAAGCGTGAAAAAGCGAAATTAACACTGGGCGAAAAATTACCCTGTATACAGTATTTTTTAAAACAGTTTTTTTAAAAAAGCTCTTTCACACTTAAAAAAAGTTATCTTTGGTTTTTTCCCATTATATAAAGTGTACACTGTTCTAATACAATTTGTTTCGCAGACTATCATAATATTAAAGCAATCATTCATTGAATGATATGGTTTTTCAAGGCCACAAGAAATTTGCTTCTTTGAGCAAGCTTTAATTGTCGCATATCTGCGGTGATTTTCTTTGATCTTTCTGTGGTGATATATCCCATATCACATATGCGATAATACTTTCCACGCCCCGTCATATATCACTACAGGAGGCAAAAACCAGGTCAATATTTATTTATTGAATTTTGACACTCTCAATGAAATTTACGTCATCAGACATGCGACAAGTTGCTTACATCATAGATTGCCTCGTACTATTGGTTATATCGTTTTCATGGGGCGTGGAAATCTCGG